AAGCAGAATACCGCAATTCTTTTACACGTCGCTAGTCCAGAGGTATTGGAAGTTTTTAATACTTTCCTAATGTTCCACCGAAGAGCGCAAAAGCTATATGCTACGTTAGTGCAGAAATTCGAAAGCTACTGCACGCCGCGCTGCAACGAGACGTACGATAAATATATATTTCGCTCGTGCAAGCAGAACGAAGACGAAGCGTTCGAATGCTTCTTCAGAGACCTACAGCTCAAAGTACAGGAGCGCAACTCTGGGATTTTGACCGAATCAATGAGTCGAGACTAAATTGTTTACGGGACAGCTCACGTGAAGTTGAGAGAAAAACTGCTACACGAAGACCCATTGTCGCTCGAGAAAGCAATACAACTTTGAAAGGCGTCAGAAATAGCAGTGAAGCAGAGGAAAACCTGCGACAGTCAGGGACAGACCATGGAAGTTGTGTCAAAGCAACGGCTGTATCGCCAAGCAGGAAAATGTGGACGGTGTAACACGAAGCACGACCCGAAGAAGTGTCCTGCATACGGCGAAGCGTGCTACAAATGCTAAGAAAAAATCACTTCGCGCCATGCTGCAATACACAATTTTCTGTTGATTGTGTGTACGACGTACCCGAAGACCATGGCTTAGAGGTCTTGGAAGTGCAGAACTGCGGCAACAAGAGCGAATGCCGGGTACAAGCGCAAGTGGCTGAGAAGCCTATTGGCCTAAAGGTAGATACCAGAATACAAGTTAATCTGCTAGCGAGGAAGCTGCTCCGCCAGATCAACGAGGCAGTTCCAGTGACCAGAATAACCTCTGGATTACGGGACTACAACGGCAATATGATCAGCCACTACAGAACTGCCGTCGTCACTGTAAAGTTACGAGGCAAGGAGACACGAGTGCAGTTCTTCGTCGTGCAAGACCGCCATTGACCGCTCCGGGGCCTGCCTGCATGTGAATACTTCGGTCTCGTGAACCGCGTTGACGATGTGTCGGCCAGTGTGCCAAAGGTTATATAATTGAGACCTTCTAGAACTCTTCCACGGACTTGGGTGTATCAGCAAAAAGTACAAGATGGTACACAAGCCCAGATCCGAGCCAGTTATTCAAGCAGCACGCAGGGTGCCCCACCTTCTGAGAGAGCCGCTGAAGAACGAGCTCGAGCGCATTGAAAGTGCTGAAATCACCACGAAGGTGGACGAGCCATCAGACTGGATAAGCCCACTTCTTATTGTATGCAAAAAAAGATGGAATATTGCGAGTATGCATGGACCCTAGGAACGTCAGTGAGGGCCTGAAAAGGGAACATTTCCAAATGCCTAGAAGAGAAAACATCGAGGCAGAGTTGGCAAACGTGATCGTCTTTTCGAGACTTGATGCCATTTCGGGCTTCAATTAAATACCGCTGGAAGACGCAACATCGCGAATCTGCACATTCAGTACGCCTTTCGGTCGCTATCGCTTTTGGCGATTACCGTTCGGCATAGCATCAGCGCCGGAAGTTCTTCAGAAAGCTATGGTTCAGATATTTGACGGTCTTCTAGGCGTACGTGTGTACATAGATGACGTGTTCATTTGGTTAACCAGCAAAGCGGAACATAACGAGCGGCTGCATAATGCTCCCGAAGCTGCGCGCAAGAGTGGCAATACCCTGAATGCCGAGAAGTGGCAGTTTGGAGTGAGCGAAATCACTTATTTGGGAGATTGAATAAGCAAGACAGGGTTTAGGCCCGACCCCTGTTTAGTACAGAGTGTTGTGCAGATGTCAGCTTCGACCACTCAAAAAGAGGTCCAGCGAATACTCGGAATTGTCACATATTTAAGCAAGTACATTCCTTGCTGCACGGAGTAGATGAAGCTGCTTCGAAGTATTACGAGGGACGACACGCCGTTCGTCTGGGAGCCACACCACGCACAAGAATGGCACGACCTCAAGGTGGTGCTAACAAAGGCGCACTGCTGGCGGTCTTCGACCCTGCACGAGATACCAAGGCGTCTACAGACGCATGAAGGTATGGCCTTGGCGCAGCGCTGTTTCAATTACATGGTGCAAACTGGCGTGCAGAAGCTTACGGCTCTAGAGTGCTCACCGATTGTAAGACAAGATACTTCTAAATAGAAAAGAAAACACTTGGAACTGCTTACGGCTGTGAGAAGTTCAACGATTTCATCTAGGGCAGGACAATAACGCTAGAAACGGACCACCATACACTAATCGCCATCTCTCAGACATCTCTTGGCGACATGCCGCCCGTCTTTAGCGTTTTTTTATCCGACTAATGAATTATGACTATTGCTTCCCAGTTCGTCCCTAAAAAGCAGCACATCCTGGCGGATGCGCTCTCACGGACACCGCTACCAGGCAGCCCAAAGGGGGCACCTCACAATGACGTGGAGGTTTACGCAATCTCCGTCCTCTCCAGCTTAGTGAGTGAGGCAACGTCCACGAGGCTCAGACAGGAAACCGCGAACGATACTCTGTTGGGCACTGTGGTCAAGCCTTCTCAAAACAACTGGCCAGTGGATGGAGACTTCATGGCATATTTTCCTGAGTTGTCGGTAACTGACGGCATGCTCTTCAAAGGTGCTCAGGTAGTGATAGCTAAGAGTTTCCGCCTAGAGATGCTAAAGAGGCTTCATGAAGGTCACTTAGGCAGCAACAAGCGTAAAGCCAAAGCGCGATTTTTGATATTTTTGGCCGGGCATGACATCCGAGATTAAGGGCATGATTAAAAAGTGTGCCACATGCAAGCAGTTCGCGTATCAGCAGCCAGCTGAGCCCTTACTAAGGCAGACAGGGTCTCAACCATGGTCCCGAGTTGGCGCAGATTGGTGCGAGTATGCTGGGAAAACGTACCTCATAGCGTTTAGCGCGTACTCCAATTATTCCGAAGTGGTGCCTTTAGACAACACCACCCCAGCTGGGGTAGTCCACCAGCTCGCGGAAATTGTTACGAGACATGGGATTCCACTAGAGTTATGCAGCGACAATGACCCCCAGTTCTCCTAAAAAAGTTCTGGAATTTAGCTACGAGGCACAATTTTCGGCATGCCACATCCAGTCCGTATTTTCCACAATCAAATGGTGTCGCGGAGGAGGGCGTTCAGCTAATCAAGAGAATTATAAGAAAATCGTCTCACTCAAACGAAGATTTTTACCTAGGTCTCCACAACTATAGATCACCCCCCTTGAAGGATGGAAGATAACCCAATGAGCTGCTAATGGGACGACGCATCAGGTGGCTGGTCCCTGACTTCCCAGTGGAGCCCGCAGACGACGTGAAGATGTGTCCGCAGCTCCAATCAACGAGGCACTTACCACCACTCCAGTCAGGTGACGTTGTCCGCACAAGGGAGAAAAAGGGGTGGCCAACCAAGGCTAAAGTTAAAATTAAGATGGCACCATGGTCCTACAGGGTCATAACAGAGGGCGGAAGAGAGATGCATCGCAACAGGCAACATCTCATCGCAACGCCCGAAGTCTTCGTCCCTGACCCTCGGCCCGACGATAACGACGCACCCATGGTGACCTCGCCCCAGCTATCTAGGAATCTCCCGCTCACATCTTGCCCAGAGAGCCCACCCACAACAGCTAGTACAGCCCCAGTTGCTCAGTAGAGTACATTGTTGGGCTAGTTGGTTTTGGAACTTGGAATACATTTTAGCGCTGAAAAACAAGGACAAAAAGACGAGAATTAGACACCACAGTCCGCTGTGGTGTCTCTTTCTCGTCTTTTTGTCCTTGTTTTTGAGCGCTAAAATGTATTCCCAGTCGCCCCACAGGCCACTGGCGTCCCGGCACCAACGCGAGCCTTGACACGGATGTGACGTATCCCTCAGAGGCTTCGCCACGATGCCGATTTCGATAAACTCTCAAAATGTGTCCTGTTTGTTAATTTCTTAAACCTTTCAATGTGTTGATACATGGTGTATGTTACTTCGAACTCATTCGTGTGAGTTTAAAAAAAAACAAAAAAAAAACGAAAAGGTGTAACGGGAGCGTGCTCCACCAGTGAACCAAAATCGTGCCCGGGCAAATTGGACAGGCGCCATAATACAAGGCTAGCCCTAGTTAACCTCCCGCAGTGCGAACCTTCTTCTCGCGCTGATACACCCTAAATATTTCCGTGCCTTGAAGTTCATTACTATTTTTATGTAGCTTTTTATACCGCTGCAGAACAAGCCCATTTTCTAAATCGCTTACTCTCACTTACCCTCACCTTCAAATATCAGGTGAGAGGGATAAGCCCCGAAAACAGTCACAAGTTTGGTGACCTGATGAGTTCGTCGGTTTAACTAAAAAAAGGGATCACACTACTTATACATCGCAAAGCACAGTCTACATACAGATTCGAACGCGAGTCAGCGCGAGATAATAATAATAATAATAATAATAATAATAATAATAATAATAATAATAATAATCTTTATTTGCTCAGGAGAGCCGCGGCACCGCAGAAAGGCAACAGCCCGTACCAGGGAGGCCCGCGGTGCCGCGTCTAGTGAAGGGGACTATATGATGATGTAATATACAAGATGAGAGCGCTTATGATTAGGTATGTGCGTTAGGCCTAATAGCATTCTTCGCGGGCTTCGAATCTGTGCTTCGAATGCCGCGCGGCAATGAGTTCGAGGAAAAACTTGGCACGCGGCATTCGAACTACGGATATTGCGGTGACTCGTGTTTGCCGACTGTTTTCTGTATGATGGTAGGAGGATTGTAACCCCGGCTTAAATGTGCGTAATACATTGATGGTGAGTGCGGTCGTTGACATGTGAGGGTGAGTAAGTTTCGAGTTTTGCTTTCAGTCGTGAGTTACTACAATATAGAATGGTAATACTTGAATCCTTAGCTGGATGTGAGTTCAAGAGTGTTGAACAGTAACAAACGATCATCATCTAAATTGTTAATATATTTATTTATTTATTTATTTATTTCCATACCTTAAGGACCCCTTGCGGGGTATTACATAAGGGGTGAATGAATACTACGCCTTAGAGACGGCGGCACCACCTACCTGAAGGATGGCATGGGGCTGTGCATAGCCTCCCAAGGATCCGATGTTTGCCACCCAGTCGCAGGAATGGGTCTCCGTGATCATCACCGGCATCAGTGTGTGATAGGGCTTCTTAAGTGGGCCAACGCAGTTCGGGTGCCCCTCCACCCCCACGAAGCTCGACGCTCGGCTCTGTTATAGAATTGAGATGGACTTTGAGATACGTTCAGGGAAGATACTAGGAGGAAACATTTGTTGTTGTTGTTTTAATTATTTTTATAAGATAATGAAGCATTCCTTTTTTTATAGTTTGTGTTTCAAGACAAAATGGATTTCATGAACTGTTTTTTTTTTTTGCGCCCACAGATGGGTTTTTTATACAAGGAGCAAGGTGCAATAGCTCATTTGGTTTTAATGTGCTGGTAACTCTTTCCAATTTTCCCATAAGAAGGAAAAATAAAAGACGTAAATCAATTCGCTTTTTTTTTTGTTATTGAAACAAAAACAAAAGTTGTTCGCTTTTTTTTCTTTTGATTGTGTCTGAAAGAGGGGCCAGTGCAAAAGGCTGTAAAGCCGGACGAGGCACTGGTCCCTTACAGTTCATGATACAAAACAGTGTTCCGCCGTCAAACACGAAAACAAAACAAAATGGTGCACAAGAAAGTGCACAGAAACTAGACGATATCACGAAGTACATAACAAGGTATTGTGGGGATTGTGATCCCTCAACATTCTGTCGCGTCAGCGTTTTGGCGCGCCGTGGCGGCCGCGCTGGCGTAGCGAGAGGCGGCGCTGCTTACCACTGTGAGTGGCTTCCTCCTCTCCCCCCTTGGGGCAATTTCCGTAACGAACCCCCGCACAAAGGAGATCGACGTGTCGCTCCTTGATTGGCCACTTCGCCCCCGCCGTTATCTTAAAACCAGCGGACAGCAATCTCGCTTCGCTCTTCTTCCTGAGATTCGGCGGCGGCGACAACGGGGAACCTTCCGGCGCACCGGTGAGCGTTTACCCCGTCCTTTGTACATTTGTGAACGACCGTTCGGCCGTGGGCGATCTCCACACCGACGGCGTTCACCAGCTTATAGCCGCTGTGTTGTTGTTATTTTGTTTCATTGTAAATAAACAGTTTATCACCGTTACCAACGTGACTGGTGTCTGTTTGCGCTCAACGAGCAGCATGCCACGCGAGTACGAACCCGCTTCGCGGTAGAGCGTCTCGCCGCGAACGTGGTACTCCCAAAGGCAGTGGCCCTAAGGAGAACCACAGTATGTACAGCAATCAACGCTAAAAATGAAATATAACCTAGATTGTGAAACAAATAATCATAACAGATATCTGTTACAATGTAAAGTAAGTTTGGTTTGCTGAAAGTGTATATCGCTGCCCGCCAGCAACACCCTGCACGCTTTTTTTTTATATTGGCAGAGGTTGTTCATAGTTCATATCGGATTCATTGTTTAATAAAATAAATTATTGATATTTTAAACTCTACCTTTCGTAATTATTTCTAAAATAGGGTGTCCTTATCTTAACGCGACGCCACTGGTACGAGATTAGACATGAGGAAGATACATAGAAAGGGGGGACGGACAACGAAGACTTCCAACTAGCAACAACATTTATTGAGCCGAAGTTTGCATATATAGGTGAAGGAGGGGAGGGGGAAAGACGCTACACTGGAAAGTGGGAAAGCGATAGGAGAGGGTGTAGAGCCAGGGAAAAGAGGGACGATCCCGTGGGGTAGACATCTAATCGCTTGTAGCCGCGGGAACGAGGGACGTCAGCTCTGGCCCCAGGAAGTTTATCTCCCTCCTGGATAAGCCTACGGACGGGGATCCAAAGTTGTTGTGACTGTGGTGCATGGCGAAGGCCTCCATGATCTCTCGTCCGTATCTTGAGGCGTGACCTCCAATCCTGGTGGTCGAGGGAAGGTCGGCCGAACAAGGTTCTCTGCACTCAGAGGTGTGTTTGGCAATCGGGTGGTAACAAATCTCCGAAGTGTCGGAAGCGGCTTTCTTGATCTCGTTTGCATGTTCCCTCACCCGATCGTTTAGGCATCGGCCCGTCTGTCCGATGTATTTAGCACCGCAGGACATGGGAATCGAATACACGCACTCTTTGCAGCAGTTTACATAATTGGTCTGGTGCTTTTTCTGGCACGGAGGCGCTGGACCGGGGTTGTTGACTCTTCTACAAATAGAAGCTAATTTGAACTTGCAGGAAAGTACAACGTTGGTGTTGAAGCCGAGCGCAATAGATTTCAGGCGATGTGAGGTGTTGTGTATGTAGGGGATGCATGCGAAGCGTGACTTAGGAGGGAGGGGTTTGGACTTCTGCCCCGCGACAAGTCTTTTGATTGTTGTTTCAATCAGGTCTCTCAGATATCCTGCCTTCATGAGGCGACTAATCTGCTTGGATAGGCTGGGGGCGGAAAGGTGCTGACAGGATTTAACCTTTGCCGAAGCAATTAGATTTCGAACGATCCCATTCTTTACATTCCTTGAGTGTGAGCTGTTGAAAGGAAGAACGGGCTTGGAGGACCTCTGCTGGTGAGCCCAGCAGATACCTCAACTAGCACAGGTATCTGCTGGGCTCACCAGCAGAGGTCCTCTAAGCCCGTTCTTCCTTTCAACAGCTCACACTCAAGGAATGTAAAGAATGGGATCGTTCGAAATCTAATTGCTTCGGCAAAGGTTAAATCCTGTCAGCACCTTTCCGCCCCCCCGCCTATCGAAGCAGATTAGTCGCCTCATAAAGGCAGGATATCCGAGAGACCTGATTGAAACAACAATCAAAAGACTTATCGCGGGGCAGAAGTCCAAACCCCTCCCTCCTAAGTCACGCTTCGCATGCATCCCCTACATACACAACACCTCACATCGCCTGAAATCTATTGCGCTCGGCTTCAACACCAACGTTGTATTTTCCTGCAAGTTCAAATTAGCTTCTATTTGTAGAAGAGTCAACAACCCCGGTCCAGCGCCCCCGTGCCAGAAAAAGCACCAGACCAATTATGTAAACTGCTGCAAAGAGTGCGTGTATTCGATTCCCATGTCCTGCGGTGCTAAATACATCGGACAGACGGGCCGATGCCTAAACGATCGGGTGAGGGAACATGCAAACGAGATCAAGAAAGCCGCTTCCGACACTTCAGAGATTTGGTACCACCCGATTGCCAAACACACTCTGAGTGCAGCGAGCCCTGTTCGGCCGGCCTTCCCTCGACCACCAGGATTGGAGGTCACGCCTCAAGATACGGACGAGAGATCATGGAGGCCTTCGCCATGCACCACAGTCACAACAACTTCGGATCCCCGTCCATAGGCTTATCCAGGAGGGAGATAAACTTCCTGGGGCCAGAGCTGACGTCCCTCGTTTCCGCGGCTCCAAGCGATTCGATGTCTACCCCACGGGATCGTCCCTCTTTTTCCTGGCTCTACACCCCCTCCCATCGCTTTCCCACTTTCCAGCGTAGCGTCTTTCACCCTCCCCTCCTTCACCTATATATGCAAACTTCGGGTCAATAAATGTTGTTGCTAGTTGGAAGTCTTCGTTGTCCGTCCCCCCTTCCTATGTATCTTCCTAATGTCTAATTACCGTTACCAACACGCTTGTTTTGTACTTAACTTGGTACGAGATGTTTCTGTTTCGCCGTGCGGAACGTATCGCTTGGTTTTATACATAAAATGGAATAATTTAAAGTAATAACTTTGATTTGCTTTTAAGATATATCATTTAATGAAAAATGGTTCAGTGCGCAGTTCACTCACGTTACCTTTATGATTTTCGAGTATGCGTAAAACCTTTGTTGCAGGAATAATATTTTTATTGTAGTCTGACATTATTGTCATACCCCAGAGAAGAATTATATTGAGCATTTTAAAGATAAATAGAGAATAGTACGACGTTTCAACGAGCTACTTGATCACAAGGCTTCATACTTTATAAATACAACCTACAACTCGGGAAAACTTGGATGTTAATTTATCTACATGTGTGCTCCACTTCAGCTCTTGTTTAAACCACCCGCCTAAAAATGTTTTCTCGGACACCTATACTTTTTATTCACCTTCAAATGTAATCTGAGTCTTTGTTCAAAGCTTTGTTGCCGGCTTCAAAATTGCAAACTTTGTTCTCCTAGTGTTTAATTGAAGTTTCTTAAAACACAGCCATCTTTAAAGCTTTACAAGATAAAAACATTAGTGTAATCTGCATACATTATTAGCTCTAGAGAACCGGGTATCCTCACCATATCATTATTTATAAACGAGTAGATGTAATGGGCCGAGTTCAGAACCATGTGCGAGTCCATAACGTGTTTCTAGCTTATTTTATGAATTTCTTTTATTTATTTATTTACGTATTGCAGGCGATGGGTTAAATAGCTTTTTAATAACGCAAGCGATACACAGAAAATATCTTATTGTTCTAATTTTTTTAATAAATTATTTTGCTGAACACTCTCGAAAGCTTTTCACAGGTCTATAAAATAGGCCAAGTGACGTAAACTCATTTTTAATATTTGTGATTACTTTCTCCTTAATGTTCAGTGGGGCTTGCTCTGGGCATTCGTTTTTTTTTTCTTTTTTAAACCTATATTGCGCAGATGATATTACGTGTGCCTTGAAAAAAAGACTTCTAAGCGTATTTTTTTTTTAAATCCTCAAATATGTTAGAAAATTCTGTTAGGACTTAAATCGCCCTATAATTTTCAAGATTTCCTTGACAATCACCGATACGAATTGAAGTAACTTTAGCCAACGTCAATTTGTTTGAGAAGATACCGCTTTCTATAATGTTATTTTCTATATGTGATGGTATGGGGCTAATAATTACGTCTGCCACCTTAATCGGGAGGGCTTTGAGCTCGTCATCCCCCGCCGAAACGTCTTTTTTTTATTTCATCAATGAGTGCTCGTACTTCATGGGCTCTTACGGGAAACAACGTTATAGAATCAATACTTTTCGGTGTTGTCATTGCATCGTAGTGTGTATTGTCTTCTGATACCATAGATTTGCCTATGTTTATAAAATGTAGGCACATTGCGTTTGTCATTTCAGCACCCGGTACATCAGTCGCTTTGATAAACAATTATGTCACTTCATTATTGGATCTATATAAAATTGTTTTGGTACTAATGGCGGCTATAGCTTTCTTTAAATCGAAGTTTATTGGATTCCTTACTTTTTG